CCATTTTTATTAGTATATTATAATTTTATAAAATAGTGAGATTTTTTGTTACATATTTGTATATGCATACAATATAAAATATAATTGAGTCAATTTCATTCCCCAGTACCTCCTCTTTCCCTCCCCTCCTGTCTTTCTCTGGTCCCCTTCCCCTATTCTACTGGTTTTCCTTCTATTTTCATAAGACCACCCCCAACATTTTTTTTCCTCCCTATCTTCCACATATGATAGAAAACATATGACATTTGATCTTCTGAGTTTGGCTTATTTCCCTTAAAATAATTCTCTTGATTCCCATCCATTTCCCTGCAAATGACATAATTTCATTCTTCTTTATTGCCTAGTTATTTTTTACTGTTTATTCTTTTCAATGAATTTTAGAATAACTTTCTCAAGTTCCAAACAAAATCCTACTAGGTTTTTAATTGGAAGCAAAAAAAAACCTTTCAATTTAATTTGGAAATTATATATTTACAACATTGAGTTTTCTCACCCAGGAACATGGTATATCTTTCCCTTTATTCACACAATCCTTTATATATCTCAGCAAGTTTTTGTAGCACTTTTATATTTTCTACTTGGTTGCTATTGGTAAACAGAAAAATATATTTGTGTTGATTATCTTGTATTAAGCACTTCTTGAATGAGATTTCTTATAAATTCTAACAATTTCACAATTTTCTCAGTTTATAGTCTTAAGGGTTTTGTTTTTCTTTGTTTTGTAGTACTGGAGATTGAACCCAGTACTTGTATCACCAAGCTACATCCCTAGACTGTTTTATTTTGAGACAGGGTCTCATTAAGTTGTTGAGGCTGACCTTGAACTTGCAATACTTCTGCTTCAGCCTCCCAAGTAGCTGGGATCACAGGAGTGAATCACCATGCCTGACTATCTCTTGCATTTTAAAAGTGAACAACTGTATTGTTTGCAAATAACTTATAGCCTATATTAGCTCCTGGGTGGAATCCAAGCATTAAGCTGTCATAAGGTAAACTTATATATTATTGGTGCAATATAATAATACATTATAATTTGTTCCTTAAAACTCATCTAACCCTGTGAAAATATCAAATTGACAGTGAAAATAAGGAAAAGGAAAATCCAAATATATTAATTTTAAAATCCTTATTAACTATGTAAAGCCAAATACTTAACAGAAATTCTGCATCATAAGATGTCTTAAAATACACACCTATTGTGAATATATGAAAAAAACATTGAATTTTGCACTTTAAAGAGATAATTATATGGTTTGCAAACTATATCTCAACTTAGAAAAAAAAGTCCTAAAGTTAGAATGAGATGTGATACATTTTTTTCTGCTAAAAAAAGAAAGTGAAAAGATAATCCATGGAATGGGTGTTAGGTTATGGATCAATTTTTTTTTTCATACCTGTAATCCCAGTGGACTGATGTACAGTGCATGGTACTTGTCCACATTCTCCTTGTTAGGAATTTTAATCTTGGGGATTGTTGGAGGTTGCAGGTTGTTGCAAGAAGGAGTGGTTACATCCTTTTTTATCCCATTCCATGGATTATCTTTTCACTTTCTTTTTTAAAATTTTTTTTGGAGTTGTAGATGGACAGAATACCTTTATTTTACTTTTCACTCAAGTAAAAATAGGCATTCTTTGTTACCCTCAAAACCTTCCAAGAGCATTAAATTTTTTGAATGCTATACTTTTGTTTTTCAGAAGCAAAAACGACAAGTAGCAACTTAACCTTGTAAAAGACATTAAAAACATCCGAGTAATAACTTGTCTATCTCACAGAAAAAAATAGCGCAAGAGAGACTATTACACAGCTCTTAATGAAAGTTCTATTGAATAAATCTCAGAATAATTTATAATTTTAACTAAATTCACAAGTCCTAAATAATGACCATAAGGCTGGGTCTGGGGCTCAGTGGTAGAGTGCTCACCTGGCACATGTGAGGCACTGGGTTCGCTCCTCAGCACCACATAAAAAATAAAATAAAATAAAGCTATTGTGTCCACCTACAACTAAAAAATACATATAAAAATAATGACCATAATAAAAAATTATAGAACTTCTAAAATGGTATGTGAAGAAAGAAATGGGATCAACTCTCTGGAAATTTACTATTGTCAATGAGATATGTAATGAAACATGGTAAATATTTGGAGCTGGGAAACTTCTATGGTAACTCTATCACTGATCCTTTCTTTTCCTATTTTAATCAAACCCCTTTATGACTGAGCTCCTTTGAGAATCTAATAATTTAATCACTTGTGTTTTATAACTCATCCTCGATTTGTATTTCTCAGCTTGTTGATTTGTGACAGTATTAGATTACAGAGTCCAGTCTTGTTTCATTGATACTGGACATGAGTTTGCAAATAGTAGACTTTCTCTTTGCCGATTTTGGATAATTTTGCCAGAATTTCTTCATTGCTTTTGCTCTGGGACCTGCAGGCACCCCTCCCTCAACTCTGATGTTACCAGCATTCGCTTATTTTCCTGTAGCTGTTAAGCAAGGTGCCTACTTTGTTCAAGATGAAATGTATTCCTTTGATATCTTGCTTTACCTATACTTATTTTTAATATATTTATTTGCAGCACTGGGGATTGAACCCAGGGGTGTACTACCCCTAAGTCACACCCCCAGCCCTTTTTATTTTTTTATTTTGAGACAGGGTCTCACCAAGTTGCTGAGGCTGACCTCAAACTTGTGACCTTTTTGCTGCAGTGTCCCAAGTCACTGAGATTGCAGACATGCACCACTATACCTGGCTTAAAATTGTTCTTTTAGTCATTGAGCTGTAAGAGTTATTTACATATGCTGGCTACTAGATTCATATCAAATACATGATTTATGAATATTTTATCCCATTCCATGGATTATCTTTTCACTTTCTTTTTTAAAATTTTTTAGAGTTGAAGATGGACAGAATACCTTTATTTTGTTTGTTTATCTTTATGTGGTGCTGAGAATTGAACCCAGTGCCTCACACATGGTAGGCAAGTGCTCTACCACTGAGCCCCAGCCCCAGCCCCAGCCCTATCTTTTCACTTTCTTAACAGTGTGCTTTGAAGTTCAAAGTGTCTCATTTTAGTGGAGCCAAACTTATCTATTTTTTTTCTTTTGTTGCTGTGCTTTTGGTGTCATATCTAAGAAACATTGCCTACTCAAGATCATGATATTTTATACCCATGTTTTCTTCCAAGAGTTTAATAGTTGTATCTTTCTCTTTAGGTATGGGATCCATTTTGAGTTAATATTTACATATGGTGTTAGGTTATGGCTCAACCTCAATTTCTTTCTCATGTGGATATCCAGTTATCCCAGCATCATCGATTAAAAAGATTATTCTTGCCCCCATCAGATTGTCTTGGCTCCCTTGGTGAAAATTAATTGACCATAAATGTATGGGTTTGTTTCTGTATTCTTGATTCCATTCTATTCATATAAAAAATTGGGGGTGGGGGGGTACTGGGGATTGAACTCAGAGGCACTTGAGGTCACTTGAACTTACACAGGACACTGATGTACAGTGCATGGTACTTGTCCATATTCTCCTTGTTAGGAATTTTAATCTTGGGGATTGTTGGAGGTTGCAGGTTGTTGCAAGAAGGAGTGGTTACATCCTAGCCCTATTTTGTATTTTATTTAGAGACAGGGTGTCACTGAATTGCTTAGAGCCTCACTTTTGCTGAGGCAAGCTTTGAACTCATGATCCTCCTGCCTCAGCCTCCTGAGCCACTGGGAAGGATTACAGGTATGAGCCACCGAGTCCGGCATTAATAGTATTTTAATGAAGAATTTTCCCTGGGAAAATCATGAGTAGAATCATGCCATTTTTTCCCTCGTTTATGACTAAATTTGGTGGAGCCCTGTAGAATCTCACTTAGGAATGAGAAGCAGAAAAAATGGTTGTCTAGGAAATCAGGAATGGGATCTGTAGTGGCTCATGGAGAGAACTTAGGTTTGGAATTAGTAAGACCTGGATTTGAATGCTAGTTCTATCCAAAATTGTATGGCTTTGTGTAAGTTTCTTAACTTCTAGTAATTTCAGCTACTATGAAATGGGGATGATGGCAATGTCAATCTCAGAGGGCATTAGCATTAAGAGACAAAAGTTGTGAAAGTGATGACACGGTCCCTGGTCCATAACAGTAGGTATTTGACATCAAGCAAATTTATAGCTGATTCATGGTCTTGTGGATCCCTCCCATCTGACTCAGAGTGGTTGTATGGGGTTAGGAAACGTGGGCTATTCCATGATAACCTGTGCCAGTTCCTGTGTTTCTGCTTCTGTCTCCTACACTTATAGCAGCTATAGTTCCATTCCCTCACCTCTTCTGTCAGGCGTGGTGTAAAGGGTGGATGATAAAGAAGAAAGAAATAGCTTTCTACACACCAACTTTCTGGTCAGAAGAATAAATTTTAAGTTTGACGGATGCCCAGTAGTGAACTACAATGTAATTAGGAAATAGTTGTATACTGTTTTATATATCTAGAACTTTATTTTTATAGAAGAAACACGTAGTTGCATGGTGGATCTGGAACTCTGTCATAGGTGAGGGAATCCTGTCTGCGTGAGCCACAGTTCAGGCCCCTTGTTTACCTTGTGGCAGTCCCCAAATTGTAAGGAAAGAACCTGAGATAAAACAAGCTACCCTTCTTCTACACAAAGCTTCTAATCTTAACCCTAAATAGTAATGGTATTGCTAAGGTTTAGGAGGACAGGGCACAGTGTTTGTTGGCTTCTCATTACTTCAATTAGTTGGTTAGAGTGACTCACAAGACCTCTAAACAGGGTTGTTGCCCTAAAACTGTTTCCTTTCTCCATACTTGACTCTGTCACTTGGGAGGGGATACCATTTCTGGAACCCAGACTCAATAAGTACTTTTGGCTTGGTTGTCATCACTTCATATCCTTAAGATCCAGCTCCTCTCCACATTCTTCCTTTATTATTTTCTCTATTTGGATCCTTTGTGACTTTGTGGGTTTAGTAACAGGGAATCTGGCTCCTGTTATATGATTGTCAACTCCTGGGTCTCAGGAAGGCCATATTCAACTTTGTGTTGGTCAAACAACTTGCGCAGGGCACTGATGTAGAGTGCATGGTACTCGTCCACAGTCTCCTTGTTGGGCATTTTAATCTTGGGAATTGGCAGGGGTTCCCCAACTGTGGAGAAGGAGAAGAGAGAAGCATCAGAGTCCCCACCCCAAGTCACACTACCCTTCCCTCACTGGGGCCACATACTGACAGTATCTGGGCCCTTCCCCTTCCTTCATGCTTTTTTATTGTTGTTGATCTTTCTTTCTTTCTTACTTCCACCCTCCCTTCCTTCCTTCTCTCTCTCTCTCTCTCTCTCTCTCTCTCTCTCTCTCTCTCTCTCTCTCGGGATTGAGCCCAGGGATGCTTTATCACTGAGCTATATCCCCA